ATAGCAAGATAGATCTCAAAAGAAAAATAACCAAAAAAAAAAAAAAAAAAAAACAAAGAGGGGCTGGGGATTTAGCTCAGCGGCAAAAGCGCCTGCCTTGCAAGCGCAAGGTCGTGAGTTCGGTTCCTGGTACCAGAGAAAAACCAAAACCAAAAAAAAAAAAAAAAAGAAAAATAAAAAAAGGGGTGGGGGTTATAACTTAGTGTGAAGACCCTGGGTTCAAAACCCAGTACCAAAAATTAAATTACTTAACTAGTTAAAAAGAATTTCAAACTTCCAGAAAAGTTGGAAGAGTAATGAAAACAACATTCATATCTCCTTTACTCAGATTCCCAATTTTTAATATTTCACTGCATTGACTTATCCTCCTCTTTCTCTTCTGTGTGTGATCTCATCATCAGTTTACCCCAAACCATTTGATCATCAGGTGAAGATGTTACCTCATCACCTCTAAATTGAGAGCCATGACCCACTACCCAGCAGGTCACCAGCCTGTGAACATGGAGGCTTTGTCCTGAATTTATCAAGGTCTGTCTCCCTAGTCTTCCCTAAGTGGAGTCAGTGTCACTGCAGACAGCAACATGTTTTTTAACTATACTAACTCCATTCTGCATTTGTCCATGTGCCAACGTTAGTGGACACAGCCTTAAGATCTACCCTGTTCACACTGACCATTCCTTCCTTAGATGCTCATGTAAACCAACAGAGACAGGCAAAGCCAGAGAAGGCAAAAGTCTCCACAGAGGAGAGAAAAACTTGTCCAAACAATAAACCTGTTGATCTAAACAGTTTTGGTCCAAAATGCTTTTGGAATGTTTTTCTTCTCTGGGTAGTGCATAATCCACATAGCCACTGGATCATTCCAAGACAGAGGTCCAATCATTTATCTGTGTAGTTAAAAAAAATCCATCACAAAGAGTGGAGAGTGACTTTAGTGGGCAAATACTACCTCAGCCATGAGAATGGCACTTTATAAACTCTGGTTTTTCCTGCTAATAACCCATAACCAGTTAAGTAAGAAAAAAAATCAGTTAAAATTCACTCCAAGGCATCCCACAGTACACCTGATTAGTCTCCTCCAGACTGTCAATGCCATAAAAACCCAGAGTACTCTGAGAAACTCATAGCCGAAAGGAACCTAAGGAGACAAGACAATTAACTATAATGTCTAATCCCTGATGAAGTCCTGGAACAGAGTAAAGGACATCAGGGCAAAACCAAGAAAATATGAAGTATGGACTTCAGTTAATAATGTATTGATATTGATTTACTAGTGGCAAATGTACCATTCTCATTTAAGGTCTTAATAATAGTGGAAATTATATGTACATGGAAAATAAAGCATACTCTGCATGGTATGCTTGCTTTTGTGTAAATCTGAGACTTTCTCGAGGAAAAAAAAATCTTAATCAGAAAGTTTATTTTAAAATCCATCAGTGAAAAATAAAATAAAATCCATCACTGGATTGGTATTGCTGTAGAAAGGTTTCCTAAAATTCAAAGATCAAGGTGAGTCCTAGAAATAGTTTTAGTGGCACGTGGACACAGCCTGAATAACTCTGAGGCGCAGGGTGCATGTTCCCTTGTTGACCATTTTTCAATCGTTCTGATTCAGTAACTCTGAACTAGGCTTAGCCCTAGGAACCTTTTCTTAACCTTTGCCAGGCTTTCTTTTTAACGAAGAAAGAGAGTACCTTGGGCTCAGAGCTTTGTTTTTGTCATTTTTATTTCTATTCTTAGTCTTCAGTTTCTAGTTCTTAATATTTGATGATGTCTCATGCATAGCAATTGATGCTACTTTCTCATTTATGGCATAGTGCTATTGTTTATTTTAAAGAGAATAAAAAATAATCTAAGAACATTAGAAATGATACAGAATCTCAAAGAACAAGATAGGAGTTCAATAATGGTTGTTATATTGCATATTGTTGTCTTCGAATAGGGGCAAATACTACCTCAGCCAGGTTGTTCAGATCACCAGATAGAATCATGTAAAACTGGTGAAAAAAATTTAAGCATTAACTGTTCCTTTTAACAAACCATAGAAATTAGTAGTACAATTATCTTAGCTATCTCGTGTGTGTGTATATATATGTGTGTGTGTGTATATTAATTTATTTATTTTTCTCCCTTCCTTCTTTCTTTCTTTTCTCCTTTCCCTCATCCTACTGTGATATGATGTGTTACGGTTTGTGTCTGGGTGTCCCTCCAAAGACACATGCAGTCATGGGGTGGCCTTTTAGAGTTTATGATTGATTCATGGTCCAATGTTGGAATTATGGATATGAATGCTACACCTACCCTGGGGGGTAGTTTGCATATGTAAGGAAGAGAAAGAGGCTACTTGCCACTACCACTCCTCCCCTTGCTCTTATTGCTTGTGCTGTCTTCCTCTGCCATGAAAGGTTGGTTGCCCTCTGCCATGTGCCACCCTGCCTTGGAGCCAGTCGAGCATGGACTGAAACCTCCACAGACTCTGAGCTAAATAAACCTTTCCTTCCTTAATTTTGGGCATCAGGTATTTTGTCTCAGCAATGAGAAGAAAGTAACCAAGATATGATGTTTTCAGTTCTTCTGGAAAAATACTCAAAAGGGCAATAGCTGGGTCAAATGGAACCTCTAATCCTAGTTTTTTGAGGAATCTCCGCACTGCTTTCCACAGTGGTTGTACCAGTCTACACTCCCACCAACAGTGGAGAAGGGTTCCTTTTTCCCCACAGCCCCTCCAGCATTTGTTATTAATTTCCTTATGATGGCCATTCTTTCTTGTGTAAGGTGGAGTCTCAATGTTGTTTTAATTTGCATTTCTTGAATGACCAATCCTGCCAAACATTTTCTCATATATTTATTTGTATTTCTTCATCTGAAAAGTGCGTATTCATCTCAGATGCCCATTTTTGCTTGGGTCTTTCAATTTGGGGGGCCTAATTTCTTTTTAATTCTTTATATATTCTAGATAGAAGTCCTTTGTCTGAAGGACAGTTGGTTAAAATTTTTTCATGGCACTACTGTTCATTGTATACTTATGTAAAGATAAATGCAAACCTGTTTAATTTAAATTTAGTTGAGACTATGTATTATTTTCAGATATAGCAAACATTAAAAGAATGGTAGTCACTGCGTGATGCTGAGAACCAGTGGCCAGTACCATTATGTCCACACCCCTTAGCACAGCACCCAATAATTAATAATTGCACCTGCTTTACGGGATTACTGTGAGGATAAATGAGTTCTTGGAAGCACAGCACGAAGCACAGTGCTGATACCAAATAAGAGCTCAATAACTGCATGCTGTTTACGTGCATCTCTGTCCTTAAGCTTCTTTCCTGCAAAATGTTGACATGACAGTACTTATATCAGTAGACTGTTGTCAAGGATGGAGACAGTTGATGCACGTTAAGTTCTTAGCATCATGGTCTGGCTCCTAGCAAACACTCAGTAACATTCAATTATTTATTATCCATGTTTATTTATTATCAGTATGATTACTGTTGTGGGTCAGCAATTCCAAGAATTAGAACATGTCTCTAGTCTTTTTGTAACAGCAGTTTGTAGATACTAGAAGCAATCAAAGTGGACTTGGAAGTCCAGACCTCAATATACATCATTAAGAGTATTGCCTCAGTGGAACTGAAGTTACCGATTACCCTGTGATTTGATGTGTTATGGTTTGTGTCTGGGTGTCCTGTGATTTGAGTTCAGCAGTGTGTGGGCTGCTGCCTTTCTTACCAAGGGGACTGGCTTACGAGCAGCAGGGGGTCCTTCTGGCCTGCTGGGTTTATATAACCAGGCCTGCATGCTAGCCAGATGCTTCAGATGAGATCGGGCGCATTCAGAGTGGTACGGCTGTAGACAGCCAGATGCTTCGGGAAGCTCTATGAAGTCAAAAATTCCTGTCTAACTAAAGTTTTTTATACAAAAAGGCAACAGAATCAAAATGGTAAACAACTTTTCAGGTCCCCACAAATGTACCTGATGGTGAAAGAATTAAAACCCATACAGTACCAAAATCAAATATTTCCCCTGTGTTGTCCACGGCCATCTGGAAGATTTTGTCCCTTCCCCTCCTTCCTGGAGAGCCTTCAGAGATGCGTAGTCCTATTTCCAGGTGAACTTACCATGCATGTCTGGATCAGTCACTTACGTCTAGGACTCAGCTTCCCCAGCTGATAAAATGAGGATGTTGGATTACACGACGTATCACAGTTTCCAGCAATCACTCATTGCTTTCAATCCTGGTAAGATCTGGAAATTCATTCTGTGGGCTATAATTCAAACCTTTAGGTTCTGCAGGCTTTACAAGGATACCCAGCCAAGAGAGCATCCTCTGTGATCCTTGCATGGAGGACTGTGGGTGGGCACACAGATGGTGGCTGGGCTAGCTAGTATTTGTCCTGCTCAGTCTTTGGGTCTCTCTCTTCTAGAATAGAAACTGTATCTTCCCACTGGAAACTGCCACGCCCACAGCCAGAGAGGCTGTCAATCATGACCTCACTCCTGCACACTCCTTTAAAACAGATAATTGGGTGCATGATCCAAAAAGAATCAATATGTGTCCTTTTAGGCAGCAGATACAGATGCTTAAAGAGAGAATGTCTCTACTCTAAAAACACTCAGTGTGGTTCAGAGACACCTGTGGTACAGCTCAGCAGAGACCAAAACCAATTCAGAGAGAGAGAGCAAGAAGAGACGAGGGATAAGTAAAGATGGAAAAAGAGAAGGATCAGGAGGAAGAGATGGCAGGAAAGCAGGGGCACAAAAGGGAAACAAACAGGGAAGGAGGAAAGGAGATACTGCCAATGACTTAATTTCTTGATTTGAGCCTCTATATCTAGTCCTCCAGAAAGAGGACTTAGGTCTTCCTTGTCCAATTAAATGAGTTATAAACTTCTGTTTTTTTCTCTCCTTTGTCTTCGAGTCCATTGGGTTCTTCAAATGGGTCCCCACAGCCCCCCAAATATTAGAAACCACCAGGATTGAAGCATTTATTAGAGATGGAATGAACTCACTTCAGAAAGAAACAAAGTTTATTTGATGAATATAAATAAGGCGATCAGCACAAAGTACTTCTCATACACATGATAACAAATTTATGAACTGTACATACCTTGTACATTGTACTTCTACTGGACACAAGGTTACGATAACTGGCTAATACATGCCCACTGGTAGTTTCGAGGGTTCCTTAGTTTTATTTATTTTTTTCATATCGATGTCCATAATCACATGATCAATATCACAACCCACATGCCACTCACTTGAGGAAATATTACAAGAAGCACTATCAAACGAGGGTCTCAGGAAAGTAGATACATCGACCCCTGGCAGCATTCAGACGCCACTCTACACAAGAACATCGCAGAGAGAGCTTATGTCAGTACATTGGAGGTCTCATCATAAACACTGTTTAAAAAGTAAAACCCACTTTCAAATGGAAGTTGACACGCTGTTGACGTGCATATTGAATACACAAAAATCATTAAATACAAAATCGAGACTGTACATATAAATCAAATGGGGTATAAAGTACAAGCCTGCTTTGCACATGGTAAGACTTAGACCAACTTCTTCTAAAGGTTAGCCCAAACTCTTTTCGCTACATTATAATTAGAAGGGAATTTGCTAATGTCTGCACAAAGAAAATAACCTTCCCAACATCACAGTGTTTTTTGTAAACCCAGAGACTATTTTAAATGTGTGAAAAGGGATGTTTTTGTAACTTCCAAACATCAAGAGAATATTACATAAAATGAGAAAAGATGCTATATTTGATAGGATTTAATTTTTAGGGGCTAAACAATACGGTTGCATAAAGGGAAGACCCATAATACTTTTAACCAACAAAAGTGGGGCAGAAAACAATCCCCAAAACAACAGCTGTGACAAAATTGGCACACACATAGAAATAGCGAACTATACATGGTTTGTTTATTTTTTGTTTTTCTATTTCAATGACCCTATTTTTCCTACTAGATTTCCTACTTCCTATTTCAAGTATTCAGTTGCAGAGTTCAGGTCAGGACCTGGTTGCAGGAGGCAGTGAGGACAAACCATTCATGGGGATGCGTCTATGGCCTGGGTTTTTAGTGTGACATTGTGTCAGAATGTAGGAATTGACCTTGCAAAGAACTCTGTTTGCTTCTCCAATCAAACCCTACATCCCTTTGATAATTAAAGGACAAACTTTGAAAACATCGATGTATTTGGATTGTTTATGCAACATGTACATTTTACGTAATTCAGTACAATAATTCAGTACACTTACTGACAACAAGAACAAAGCCAAAAGAAGGAAACTTGCTTGAATATATGAATCTTGCACACCATAAATGAATGGTGCAACTCAGAGACAGGTTCATCTTCCCACCCAATAAGGTGTTTGTCTTTTAAATATCTCAGTGGCTCACCAGAGAGGCCCAGAGCTCATTGCACCAACATTTTTAAAAATAATAGCAATGACTAAATTCAATGCAAGACTTCAAGAACATTTGTTTAGGATCTTTTCCACAGCAGCAAAAAAAGACAACTATATTTATTAAGGCCACTCATGCTTAAATTCACTGTTTGTCCTTTAAAAATACAGGTTTTTATCTCCCACTTGCATACATGTGGAAGGGCTTCTTCCATTGACAAGAGAGTGGATCAATATAAGAATTGCACATGTCTGCCAGACTCAGTCATGAGTTTTATGAAACTATAATGACTTTAATAATTTTCATCTTTAGAGGAAGTGGTAGGAGTTTAATTCTCCTTAGAACCATGTTACTGTATATAAAAGACCTGAAATTTGGTCTCTTTCCCTGGCATGTGCTTTACATAATGACTCGTTATCCACAGACATGTTGTATAGAGCTATATACAGATACACAACTTTTGTGATTGTTCCTCATTCATCGATGATTTCATGTTGGATGCTGAAAATGCTTTGGAATCCATGTTGGAGACAAACTTTTAAAAAAAGAGAAATGACCCTTCATTTACAGAAGATCTAAGCTAACACTGCACAGCATTTGGATCTTGAAGTGTGAATGAGTCCCAGCTTCTTCATGGAGACCTGCCTGAATGGGAATGGTAAGAGCCTGAGGTTTGCTTACATCCCGCCCCTGGGCACGGGAACACACAAGGGGAGATATGCAGGTGCCTCAGGCTTTTGCCGCTCTCCAGTGCGTAAGCAGGGAGATAAAATTATGAATGACCAATTTAGATGTGCCATGCATTGTCAGAGACACACACCATGTTCTCATAAGGCGATTTCTTGGCAAGTATTAGTGGTTTAAAAAATTGATTTCATTTCCAACCTGGCCCAGAGGTAACTATTGGTTACACCATCAAAATGTGGTTCTTCAACCAGCACATTAAAGAAATAGAGGAGGGTAAAGGCTCACAATTTTTGGTGTTTTGGTTTCTTTGTCAGAAGTTTCACGCATCGTGATAAACAAACACTACCAACACCACTCACTCACAGCAAATTTACACAGTTTGATAATCTAGTGCATTAGGAATGACCCCTTAGACTGAACCAGCGGGATAGCTGGAGATGAAGCTAGTTGTCCAACAGAAGCTGAATCCATATTAAAAATCCCATGGAGTTCAATGTACCCAGTGAGGTTTAAGTAACAGAAACAAAATGTTATCAAGTAACGACATTCAGAATAGATGGACGTGTTTTCAGTGCCCAAATCTCATAAGCAAAAGGAGGAAAAAGGAGGAGGTGTCACTTTTCTCCTCCTGTGCGTTCTTCTTTTCCAATGTATCCAAGTCCACAAGAAACGACATGAGATGATGGAGGAAACATTAAGTAGAACAGAACCGTGGTCGATAATGAAAGTGCAAACTCCCCTTCAGTTCTGCCGAGCTGCTCCCGGTGCTGTTGGACAGTGACGTAAACCGTGCTGCAATAGATTATCAGAGTATTGCCGCAGAGCTGTGCTTCCCCTTTACTCAGCCCTTCTGACAGCTGCAACAAGAAAGTGCATGGTTTAGCAGGGGAAGAAGTGGCCACAGTGTCTGACAATCCTGCTGAAACTGCCCTGCAGTGGCCTCTCTACCACTCTCTTTGGTTGGGGTTGGGCAGAAGCAGGGAGGAGGCAAGGGGAGGGAGCACAGAGAAAAGACACGGGAAACGGAAGTTAAATTATGCAAATGCATCTGAGAAAGAGGTCTCTTTCCAACCGTGTCACCTCTATGTGCATATGACTCCTACTGTACAAAAGGAGATGGGAGGGAAAGACATCAAAATATCCCAGTAATTATTTCTACACAAGTAAGTTATGCATCAAATTTTCTCCCCACATTTTTCTACAGTGACTATGGATTTACATTTTTATAACGTGATGCACAGAGATTAGAGATTTAAAGATATTCAAGACACCAGAAAACATAACATTCCCTTATAAATTGTCTATGAGCAACAATTTAAAACAATATGAGAGCCAACAGTGTCATTCATCCATTGGAATACGCCCCAGTCTGAAAACAAACATTCAAACAGGTACTTGTACACAGATATTCAAAGTGTTATTATTCACAGTAGCCAAAAGCATGATATATACATACAAGGGAGTACTGTTTGGCCATGTAAAAAAACAAAACCAAGCTCTGGTGCATGCTACAATGTGGATGGCTCTTGAAGACATCATGCGAACTCCAATAACCAAGACCAAAAAGACAAATAATATGATTCACTTATATGAGATATCTAGAATAGGAAAATTCACAGGTGCAGAAAATAGATTATCAATTATCATGGCTAGGAGGAGGAGGAAGCGGAGAGTTATTTGTCAATGGATACAGAATTTCTGTTTGAGGTGGTGAAAAAAATCATAGAAATGAATAGTGGTGATGATGGTAGAAACTTGTACAGGTACTTAGGGCTGAAGAAATGTATTCTTTAAAAAACAATTAAAATGGTAAGCTTTATGTTATGCATGCTTTACCACAATAAAAATTTTAATGAGAATCTCCTTAGAGCACGTGGAAACTAAGCCGGCTTTCATCCCCACACCCACATAGGAACAACGCTCATCCATCCACCCGCTTCATGCCCCAGGGAACAGGTGTGCAGAAGTGCCCAGGTTTTCTCACCATCCTAGTGCAGGACCCTGGGTGTGGAACACAACTGCTGCCGAGAAGAAACAGCTAGCGGGGTGAGAAGAGGGGGCCAGCCACTCTGCCCTTTCAACAGTGGCTTCCTTGTCTGTGATGCTTCGCTGTGTGTGCCTGTGCAGTTATCAGTCACATAGGGCTTTCGAGTGCTGTGGGAGGTTCTAGGCAATGGCAATAGTGCAGCTATCTGGAGACTGTGGCAGGGAGGGAAATAGCTCACACACACACACACACACACACACACACACACACACACACACACCCAGAGCTGTCTGATTCAGTGGTTAGTACACACACAGCATTGCTCAGGCCACACTGACTCACAAGAATGCTAAAGATCCCAGTGTCTGCACAGGTAGGCAGCTATTTCAAGCTATCATTAAGCGGTGTAAATGAAATATGTGGCTTGGATGAACTCTGCTAATTCATACTCTGAGGAGTTCAGTGTAACCCTTCTGGTTAAGAAACTTGAATCAGGGCAAAAAATGACTTTTGCAGAGCCAGAAAGTTAGGGAGTTCCTAGAGCAGATCATATTACTCATTCTGGCACATAAAATCTCTGCAAACTTTGTATGAAAATTGTAAGTCAGAGCACGCTTTCTGTTTCATGAGCTGTGCATAGCTCTAATTCTTTTGTGCATTAAGCATTTCTTAATCATCCTTTTAAAGGGGCTGACCAATATATTAAAAGGCCACATGATTAAAAGGTAAAGGGAAACCCAAAGAGTATTAAAACGCACAGGTCATTTTTTTTACAGATGGGGAAATGAGTGAAAAATAATTACAGTGAATGTCCTATGTCCTTGATGTTTTTCCAAGATAAAGTAGCAAAGAACAATCATTTATTCAGTTGTGAGAAAGGTTTCCAGCTGGGTAACAGGTCACAAAGCAGAGCACAGTGCCTCGCAATTACAGCACACTGCTTTTGGGTAAGGTTTATGCTGCAGAGGACAGAACTTGCAGAAAGTGTTACCACTCCTTGAATCAAACAATCCGTTCACTAGGAGGTCAGAGTGGCCTGTGGTGGGGGTGGGGGCTCATCAGTTAGAAAGGCAGATGATCTCTTGTTGAGGGGCAAACAAGAATATGCCTTTTAAGCAGCAAAAAAAGGAGGTCTGGTTTCCAGCAATGAGGCAATCTGGGCTGCCACACACTGTGAGATAATCCCTGACCAGTGCTCTGTCACCTGGATGGTCACAGCCAGCGGCCCTAACCCCCTCCGGCGTCTTCTCTTACTGCACCCGACTCTACATTTTCTTAAACAGCGCTGTTTCCATGGTGACGGCTGCTCCATCCACACATTCCCAGCAAAGCTTTACAACCCCTGTTTATAGCCCCTTCCCACAGCATCCTGTGCCTCTCAGGATGGAGGACCCACAGGCTTCTGGCCATGCTGGGGAGAATCCCTCCGGCCTCTCCCTCGCTCCCCAGCCCCGGTCTCCTACACTTCTCTTCCACCTATGCTGAAGTAGCTTCCGCAGTGCGAAGCTTTCTCTTCCCCTCTTCTCGCAGACACACCTTTCTGTCTGACGTGCACTTACACCCAGAGCTGACCTGAGTAATCCTGACTTACTCTCCAGTCTCAGCTTAGGCGTTTGTGAAGCCGGGATGTGAAGCCGTTGGCCACATGCAGCCAGGAACACTGGCCAGTCCCAGTTGAGATGGGCTGTATGAAATCAGACTTTGAAGACTTAACATGAAAAAGAGAATGTAAACTATCTTGGTAACGATTTTTTATATTGACTTTATGTCGAAATGATAATTTGGATATATTGAATATAGCAAAATATATATTGCCATTAATTCTGCCCACTTTTTATCAATTTTTAAAATGTAGCTTCTGGTAAACTCAACATTACAAATGTGGCTTGCATTCTATTCTCATTGAACAAGCATGGTCTAGGTCAGTGGTGGTGAGTCTATGGCACACGTGCCAGAGCGGGCACACAGGGTCCTCTCTGTTGGCAAGGGAGCCAAGGTGCCCCGGTAGCAGAGCATCAGGTAATGGTTGTTCCTTTTCCAGACTAGAACGTAAGTATTCAGGTTGAATCGTAGTGCTGGCCCTTTGTGATAAATAAGTGCGTTTCTGGGCTGCAGTTTGGGCCATCACTTGTCTAGGCAGACTGCAAGCTCCATGAGGGCAGTGGCAGGCCAGTCTTGTTCCCTTAGGGTCCCTCTGTGTTTTGTACAGTGTCGGACACAGGGTGATTTGCTTAGTTTTTCCTACATATATTAGAGAGTGATAAGAGTAGACAGAACCCTAAAATTTCCCCAGGACTCCCCAGTACAAGATTTCCTACCTTTATCTCTGGCCCTGGGACTAAAAGCATATTAGACCATGGTTATATTATTTTACAGAGGTAGCTAAGGCTATTAGCAGGTGACTTTAAATGAAGTAAAAAGAGATTATCTGGGCAAGCGTAGCATTGACAGGAGCCCTTTGTAAGCAGAGACTTTACTTCAACTGCAGCAAAAGAAAGTGAGTGAATTGTGAAATATCGTAAGAGTCACTGCGCTGAGGTGGAGAGGCCAAGGGGTGAAGACCTGCGAGAGTCCTTTCAGATGTGAGAGGACCGCCAGCTCACCGCCAGCAAGGAGACAGCAACCTCGGTTCCAGAACCACAAGCAACTGAAATCTGCCAATAAGCTGAGCGAGCTTGGAGTGCATACATCCCTAGAGCCTTCCCGTTAAAGTCCAGCCAGGTCTACCTTGATTTTGCTTTCATGAGATCCAAAGTAGAAAGCCCCATTGCACCCATCTGAACTTCTGACCTACCTACAGCACCGTGGAATAGTAAGTGGATGCTGTGTGTGTCCACTAAACCCACAGTAGTTTGTTATGCAACAATAGAGGAAGAACATGGTGCCTCTCTGCGTCCGGCAGTGTGCTTCGTGCCAGTGACGCTACAGCCACGTGGGCGGACAAGAGCCACACTCTCATGCAGCCTGCACACCCCCGGGGAGAGAGACCACAAATGCACACACAGCTCAGTTCCTGAATGAAGACTAAACATTGTGCCATAAAGGATATGAACAGGGAGCTGTGATAAGCATGCTTAAGTTTTATTAAGTGACTGACGACAATTATGAGATGATTTTCTTTTGATAAGGAAAGATGTTCACAACTCTTCAGGGAAAAAGCTGAAAAAAAATACATATAAACTGGGATATTATTAATTGTATGTCTGGGAGGTGTTTGAAAGTTTTATCCTTCAGAATTTTTTTTTTTTTTTTTTTGCACTTTTTGGATATTTTTAAACCAAAGAAGTTATAACTGGCCTCATTCTAAAATATAAAGCTATTTCTTTGGTGGAAAGAAGTCCGTGCTGGGAGGCTGGCTGTCCTGGGGCTCAGGGGTGGGTATGGCAGCAGTTGGTGAGCTGAGCACCACCGTGAGATCCTGCCCGGGACAAGCACCCCTGGGGGAGCAGGCTATAAATGTGCGGTGTCTCACAAATATTCCTTCAGACTGTTTCTCTTTGGAATAGAGACACCTGCCCGATTATGGCTTTCTTCCCCTGCCCTTTCACTAGTGATTTGCAGAAACAGGCCGGGAGAAAGGGGTCTTTGGTAAACACGGAGGGGTTAAAGGGGAAACTGTTTAATAACAGTAGTAAAACGCAGGCTATTTTTGACATCTGGGTTAATGTCCATTATAACCCATGTGCTTTCCAAATGTGTGCCGTGCGCCCCCAGGTACAAAAACAGACACCCATTCACAACAGCGTAGATGCCCCTAACGTCTTGCACATGGTGCCCACATAAAAGGTGAGCCCCTGATAGACTAATTAACCACCAAGGAGCAGTCCTCTCCCGCGGCCCTGGGCATCCTGTAGAACAGCTCCACTGAGC